CTGAAGCACTAAGTGCAGACTGCGAAGAAGCCATGCACAACCACGTGGCCAAGCATTCAGTGATCGGAGGTTTAAACGCAGAGAGAGGAAATACAGAGCAAACAGGGCGCTGGAAATTTGGCAGCTAAAAACAAGTAGGAGGAACAAACAGAGGAAAACACTGAAATGAGCACAAGAGAAAAAGGCAATAGGATGCTCAGGACCTCATTTGACACTTCTTTATCACACGCCTTCTTTGTGCCAAAAGTTATACTAGTTGGTGAAAACCCACAAGAAAGTCCCATCACCCATAAAAGCCAGGTCTGATAGGGAAGACAGGCATTAAGCAAATCATCATGCCAACATCTAAGTCATTTTGGTAGGAAGAAGTGGCCTAAGGGACAGGCATAGATGACCACAAGGGCACTCACCTAACATGGGGAGCGGGAGCTCCTAAAGCCCACCAGCTCAAGCGAAATACAAAAAAAGAGGAGCAGTTAGACAAAAGGAGAGACCGGAGGGACCAGAGCACGCTGCTGCAGCTTGGTGTGCCAGAGGCCAGCATGTCCATAGCCAGAGCAGTGTGGAATAAGGTGGAAGAAGCGGGTAGGGCCAGAGGCTAAGAGAAACACCTAAGAGATTTCACACTAGAAAGCTAAATTGCTGAAAAGAGAAATGGAGCGGATCAGATTTCACCAGGGATTCCCAGCTGCCTCCCAGGAGCACCTCCCTCCACACAGGCAGGTGACACAGTCTGGCTCCCCTGGCCTTTCTAAGGGCCTCACCCATCATGCAAACCCTGTGTCCAATCGCTGAACTCACCAGACTCCTAGCACCACCCCAGGTTCAGGCTGGACGTAGAAGTTCATCGTGTGAGGCACCTTTTCCTCTGGTTTCTTTAGATCCGTAAGCAATGGGGCTTTGCCTGGAAAATAGAAATCATTGGCAACCCTCAGAATTGAATCCCTTGCCATTGCATCACAATCGAGAAGAATCCATCCCTGTAGGTGAACAGGTTTCTAAGCTGCAAGTCACTAAACTGGCAAAGCCTTTTATGCACTCAGACGAGTCTGAAGAACAGGTACAAAGAGTAAAACCAAAAGCTGAATCTTAAAATAGCACCAATGTCATAGCCCTAGCACACAGATAGTGGAAGAGTTTATTCAACCGTTATCCTTGCTCAGGCTAAAGCCAGCAGAAACCACTTTCTTCAAGACGTAATAGGGCCTGGAAGAAAACTGGATATTCTGCTACCTAAGTGAAACCTTGTTAGGCACAAGGCAAGAAATGTCCCAGCTCAACACATATGTGAAGCATGAAGAGCTAAGCCCATGCTATGTTGGGTAACAGGTAAAAAACAAAAACACTGAAAAATAGATCTGCCTCAGGCAGGTGAGACAGCTCAGCGGTCTAAAGCGCCTGTTTAGGCAAGCTTAGGCAGGTGCAGGGGACCATATGCCAAGCCAGCCTTGCCCCCCAGGTGGGTTGAGCCAGCCAAGAAAATATAAATAAATAAAATAGATCTGCCTCTTACTTCTCCTTGTTTTTTGGGTGGTACCGGGGATGGAACTCAGGACCCTGCACTTACCAGGCAGGTACTTATTCTATTGAGCTATCTCCCTGGCCCTCTTGTCCTCATTCTAGAAAATCAGAGAATAGTGTGAGTTTTCAGCCCTCAAGTCCAGCTCATTTAAAGATTAAGCTGAACTGAAACGCTGGCCACAGGGCTGTGCGCCTGTTCTCCACAGCCCAGAAGAAGCGCTAGAATCCAGAGTCCGTACCACCCCGGGTTTCAGACCAGCCCAGCCACTGTGTTACAGCTGGACAGTCTTTTTCATTGTCTACTTTACACGCAAGAAGTTCGTTATTCAGGAAAAAAAAATATATGTAGAAAAATTCATGGAAGGTTCATACTTACATAAGTTTAAAAATATTAGCATCTCCATCAGGGGAGGGAAAATATGTTCTTTTAATGATTTGCTAGTAAAGCTGTTGTACATAGCTACAATTTTTCTCCCAAGTGCTGAACAGGAGTTTGGGAAATATCTGCAAGACATCGGGAAATAAACAAGATTTACAAAATCAACATTTTCAATGTTTTTCTTGTTATTTTGGTTTGTTTTGTTTTTGTTTTCTCTATGCTTCAAGTCAAATTTCAGAGACTACCGCTGGGAATTCTGGGTAACCTGGCTTCTGCAGCGGAGTCAGCCTTATGCTCTGGGTGCAGCCCATAGACAGCCAAGGCTGAACCCCAAAGTCGTGAAACAGGACGCAGAGTTCAGCAATTGCCAGGTTTTACAATATCTCACCTCGGGGCTACACGTGTCAGCTATTATTATTGTGATCTAGGGTGCTGAGTGAGTATTAGATATGCTCTCTCCTCACCAGCAATTAGGAAGAAATATGCCAATGAATGAAAACTCCACCATGTCATAGATGACATTCCTGGAGAGGGCGGACGTGTGAGGAGTAGGAGGGGGGACAGGGAAAGACCTGGGCTCTTTGCAGGCAGAGACTACTCAGAGAAGGAGAGGGGGACATGTGCCGCTGGCTTCTACTGTTCCCTGTGACACAAACCATCCCAGCGGGTGTCCCAGTAAACAAGTAATGATCTGTCACTAGCATCACCTCTGTCTAAATCCTACCTCCCAGGAAAGCCAAGAGCATCATCCACCTTTGAGAGAAATCTAAAAAGTCATGCCCAGCTCCCTCTTTCTGCCCATATCATTTCTTAAATAACCCCTTTTCCCTAGCGGAGCTGATCAAGGTTGAGGCTGCAGGATGTGATCCAACTGTGATCCTGGGGCACTGACAAGGGCTTGGTTTTTGCCTGCCCTGATTTCTCCCCTAGGCCAGAGGCATTTTCGAAGATAACTCTTACTACCTCTGCTTCGCAACTCCAGAAAAGTTAAGAATCCCTCTGAAAGTCACAGGCCAGAAAGTGAACCACATAGCCCCCACCCAGCCTGCCTCTGCCGAGAGTCCTGAGATCCCACTGAGCTGTCCCAGTCCTGCTGCATTCTCTGTGCCATCCAGGTAAGCAGAGTGATCCCCAAGAATGAACTGGGGAGCTTCAAGATCTCCTGGGGAGATCTTGCTCTTAAGAACCTTATTTTAGGGCCGCTTCTCTTTTGCACCCTTCCCCCCTCTTGGGTCCCTTCCTGCCTCTATCTTCTTTCTCTTGTGATAATGAAGTCCTCAAACAAAGACCTCTGAGAAAATACTTCTCCCTGAAATGTTGATGACTTAGAAATAAGAGCGCTTGTACGAGTCTGCAAGAGACGCACAGGGAGAGGATGATGAATCTAGGGTGAGTTCCTGGCAATTTCGTAAGAAATAGAAAAAATGTGTGGGCTAAGGGTGACAGCTGGCTCTTCAAATCCATCACACTCGGGGAGTTACCTTCACGTAGCTCAGCCCGGAAGAAATGAATATGATTGTTGGGCAATGCTTTCAAATAGGCCCATGAAGGCAGCAGGAAGGAGAGGACGTTGTTGTTCAACTTTAGAAATAAATCAAAACCAGTGAGGCTACTCCGAGCAGCAGATGAGGCAGCACCGACCCAGAGAGAGCAAACCCTCCTCCTGGCCAGTGTCTCCCACTTTCTTCCTCAGATTTCCAATCCCCGCCCTCACTGCTGCCCTGCCTGTTAGGACCCCCATAAGCGAGTTTTTGAAGGTTGGCAGGGTAACCTCCTGCTAAGCTAGCTTTTGAAGATCTGCTTGGAAAGCAGAGGCAGTAGAGGGAAATACGTTTCTTTCTTTAAAGAATAATTTATATGGGCCTCTTCTCTCAGATAGCTCCAGGCGCTTGTGTGAGAAGCACTGTGGGAAGAGAACATAGTGAGTGACCAGGTCCCTGGGAGAATCAATAATGCAGGGGCACCTCTTTTAACTAGGGGGTTGTCAATTCGATACCCTCTCCCCCCAAGAAGTAGGGGATCAAAAGTCACCAGTGGCTAATAGAGCTTATTCAAGCACACAGTGCAGTTTCAGCTCAATACCGGCTTCCGGCCAACCACATTAAACTGCCCTCGGAGCTTGGGGTCCTCCCCCATCCTTTGATCTGTAGCAGCTATCAGGGCTGTAGCATCCCGTACGGGCCACATAACCTAACTGGACAGCGAGGTGAATCTCGGTGGAGCCTGAGTTGAAAGAGTAAATCATTCTGCTCCAAGGTACCTACCTTCTTCAGGGAGCTCAGGTAGAACCCCATGAGGCTAGACAGCGATTCTGAACACTAAGAAGACATCCTGCACTTCTGTCCTGTGTGCTGATTTGCCAGGCTACAGCCTGATCTCCCTGCTCCCTTCACACCAGGCGAGCATGCCTTCTTTGTCAAAGCTCCTCCGCACAGATCTGACCATGACAACCTTCCTTCTCTTTCCACCACTAACTACAACAGGGGTTTCGCTGACCCTTCGTTGCTCTCTGACAGTCACTTCAACATTAGCCAGCTTCTTCCCCCATAGTGGGCCAGGCCCCAGCCACAAGACCTAGCGGTAGACAAGGAGTCCTTTACACCCAGACTCTAGCAAAAGGTCAAGCTCAATAAATATCTGTTAGCCCCAGGGCCTGGCTGAGGACTGAGGGAAGGTGTTTCTCTTCCAAGGGAGAAGGAAGCTACGCTCCTTGGTAGCTTGGGGTGGAAGGGCTTCATTCTTTTATTCCTTTTGTTTAAACTACAGCTGAAAAATGAATCAACGTGAGCTCCACAAGAGCGGCAATTTTTACTCCTGTGAGCCCAGGACCTAGGCAGAGAAGCAAGTTTATCAGCCTACTCATGGGGATTTTTACAGCAGAATTTAGAAATGTGATGACTTGGAGTGACACAGAGGGAAACAAGGACAAAAACAGCCTTTGGCTTTGCCCAACTTCTTTCCTGAAACTGTGTTTCATATCTCTAAAGAAAACCATCTGCAAATGAAGACCTGCTCTCCTGGGTCCACCCGTGTTTACTGAGCTTGACCTTGTGCTAGACTCTGGGTGTAAAGGACTCCTTGTCTACCGCTGGGTCTTGTGGCTAGGGCCTGGCCCGCTGTGGGAGAAGAAGCTGGCTAATGTTGAGGTGACTGTCAGAGAGCAACGAAGGGTTAGCAAAACCCCTCTTGTAGTTAGTGGTGGAAAGAGAAGGAAGGGTGAGTGGCTTAAGGTTTAAGCAGCAACTATGTCTGATGAAATTTTTGTAAAATAAATAAATAGAATACCAAAGCACTAAAACATTATCAAAAAAAAAAACCCTCACATGATTGAGTGTCTCCTGGAGCCCCACAACATCTCCTGACAGCCCCAGTGACATAGCGGTGACTGGCACACAGCAAGCCCCCCACAAGTGTGAGCTGAGCCACACACACTTGGCTCCAGGAGACAGAAAGGATTGTGGGTGCTGGACATAGGTCTGCGCCTCAGCCTTAATATGGCTTTCATCAGATCAAGAAACTTCTCTGTGGATGAAAAAACGCACTTGTATTTCATTCTTTCAGGCAGTGTTTTATTTTAAAGAGGGTCCCTAACTTCCCATGTCCCATCCCATTATCCACAAAGTGAGTTGTTCTCTGAGTGTGAACTGCAGCTTTTGTCTGCCTAACAAGTGATCTTTCCTCCCAAATGAATGTTAAATAATCAGTCACTAACTCTGTACAGAATGGGAGGGGGGAAAGAGGGAGAGAGGGAGAGAGGGAGGGGGGGGAGAGAGAGAGAGAGATGCTAACTTCCTGGGAACAAGCATACTGGGGGGAAAAGTCCTGTAAAGATGAAGTTTGCAAAGTAGACAGGAAAATCCCACAGGATGTTCATGGCACCCAGAAGGGGCCATGGGTTCTGAGGACCTGACTAGTGTGGAGCTGCTCTCTGACCTCTGACCTCTGACCTCCACGCATATCCATGGAAGGAACAGAAGAGGGAAGAGCCCTGTTTGTTATTGTGGCTGTGGTCACTGCAAAGGGAAACCTCCTGAATCTGGCTATGATGCTGGAGTATTTTGTAATCAGCACAAATTAAAAAGTAATAGAAAGAAGTATTAAACAAAAACAAACAAAAAAAAAAAAACCTGCCAGTAAACCTTGCCACATCAACAAAACAAAACGAGACAGACAGGACCCCAGGTCCAGCATCTCAGCCAATCTCTGGCTTCAACACAGACAAGACTGGGAATGTGTCATTAGTCAACTGAGATGTCATACTCAAGTCAATGATTCATGGGAGGAAAAAGGATTTTCTAAGAAAAAATTCTGATATACAAATGTTTTCCAGATTTAAATAGTTTAGCATGTAAGGCCTTGTTATGATCTCGAT